TCCGCCCCACCCTCGCGGGTCAAATATTCCAGCACCATAAGGTCCTAATAAGTGCGAAATATGATCAGCCGAACTCCGAGGAGTGTAAAACACTCTGAAAGCGCTCACCTATGATAACACCAAAAAGAAACGCCCAGCATGCCTCGCCGATATACAGCTGCGGTGCGAATGAGTAATATCCGAGAATAGCGGTTCCCCTTACTGACCTTTTCACGGATAAACAACGAGAACATGCCGAACTGTGAAATCGCATAAGCTGATTCACGCAGTCCTGAATGAAATGACGCAACTTACCACGACGACGAAGCCTCCCAGACATGCATAAGCAATGTGCGGAATGGTGAGACTAAGCTGTATTAATGCATAGCACATAAATATGGGTGTCTTTGGCATGAAACGCGACTAAGCACTCACAGGATGAAATAGCATGACGTCGACGAGCCTTTAACTAGCCGACAGACCCAAGACCAAGCTAACTAAGATAACCTGCAAGATAGATAAGTCGTGAGGTTGGTAGCTTGCGCGCCAACACAAGTCGTAGCAAGTCGTATAATAAAAACAAGAAACGACAGATTTGTGGTCAAGGGAGAAGGCAAGCACGAGATGATATAGCCGTTCCAATAATTCCAAGCCAGGCACAGCCCACAAAATGTGAGGAGGTGACGGTCGGCAGGGTCGGCAAAGGGGGTGGCTTAGTCAGCGCTCTGAAGATCACAACGGACCTGAGCTAGCCAAGGTTGTTGCGCAAAAGCTGAAGCCAAGAAATAGCTGCGTGTCAGTAGGGAAACAGAAAGATAGAACTGAACGCTAAGCCAACTGCGCAGGAATGTGCAATTTATAGTCAGGCCTTTATAGCTATCGAAACACGATACCCATCACCCATCTCAGGAAACTCGTGCACCGAACGGGGATGGCCCTATTGGCCACTGAAATGAATTCTTTCAATGATCCAGCACGGGACGGCATCTCTCCATGCTCATTCAGCCTTTCATTATTGGCTGTCAAGTCCTTTCATGTACGTGTTTTCATGTGTGTTCTTTACAACTGATGCTTGCCATTTGGCATGGATCAGACGGCTCGGTAACCACGATCCCATACTAACAACAGTATAGTTTGCTAACAGTCTCGATCTTCATAGAGACAAACAGCAAAACTCCTCACTTGTGAGGATCCTTCCCCGGTTTCAGTAATTATTTATGTCGCGGTAATATGTCGCAGCTAAACTTGCCACCCCGCCGCATAAACGTCGCTCACGTCACTCTATGGACTCATATTAAGTAAAAAAAAGTTACATCGAAAGCCGTATCGCTAAGTTTACTGACCGGCTTAGTGACAGGCCATCAGACCTCATCAGACGTGCGCCCTGCATAAAACGTGATACAAAATGGCAAGGTAATCCGAACAAGCCGCGATTTCATAGGATGACTGTAGCACCAGAAATGTACGCAGATCGCTTATTATGGTTGAGATGATGCTCACTTGAGCACCAGGTTTAAAATTGGCACTTTGTTCTCTCGAACAGACCAATCACCCCCGATGGCAACACAAGCTTATCTCTTCAATCATATCTTCGGGGGTGTCCGATTTTGTCCCTGCAACGCTAACCATACACATTGTTCACTTCATGATCCGTTGATTGAAACAGCGGCCTCACTGAACGCTTGTTCGTCAGGTTTACTCACACTCGTGGCTTCGCTGGTGATCTTATGACGCAGAAGTTTGCCTTTCTTTTAAAATTTCCACAACCTGGCTCACTAGTCGCTCGATTTATCCAACGTCTCCTGAAACTTCCACCATCAGCCATCGCAGGCCGAAGAATTACGTCAAAATCTCGATTCCGATTTGAAGGAGTTCGTGCCGGTCTTCGCTACATAGATCTACTACGGAAAGGCTACCACTCTTATTCGATGCAAGATTTGCGTCTTATTGAAATCACTCTTGATCGTTCAATTCCTTGCTCTTCCACCGCTGGTTTCATTTGCTTCTCCTACCGTGACTGTTGTTTTTGCGCACGATCGCGTAGTTGACGCAGATTTCTAAGCTGTGCCATCGTACATGAGCTTTTACCCATCAATCGATCAACCTCCTACTCAATAGGTTACATGCACAGTAAGCTTATCTGCACAGCTCATATAACCTGTACATGCCTTCGCAGGACAAGGGTAGAGATGTTCATCCCAGTTGTGCATCTTTCACGTTCGTTCATTTGCACCAAGGGCGGCCGCGTATCGATATCGCTGTTACTTATCCGACCCACATCCTGGGCTCGAGTGGAACTTTGTTTAGAAATGGAGTCCTTACAACGAAACACATCTGGGACATTGCGCCCAATTTGACACTATTCGAAACGCCTCGATTGACGCCTGGTGGTGCTGTACTTTGCGCCTGTCCTGCTCGGTATTTGGGGGTGTAACTTAGCTTTTCCGGCAAAAGCATCCATACTCGGGATTGGATTTACAGAACTCCACCAATATTAAATTTTGGATTCGTGTTCGGCTTGTGCCGTTATCTTTTGATCGTGGCAAACGATAAGATATGTCACAAGTTACAGACGACACTTCACCAAGGCAAGTGACTGCGTTTTCATTGTTTGAAACTCTAGTATTTCAATCGCATTTTGGAGAGACGAGAGGTGAGGTTTTCCCTCAGTGTTCAAACTTACGGGTATGTGCATGCATTTGTTTGCAATGTTGGAGTGATTTATGCGATAGGATCATCATTTCTTTCTGCTCCACAGCAGGACACACTCCACACAGGAACCTAGGTTCGGAAGTTGTAATATTAATACTGTGATCCCTGCAGCAGAAGGTCTGAAGGACCTATAAGCCGGGACGTATCATCGTTTTTTTTTTACCGCGGCTAGGTTAACTCGCTATCCAAAAGTCAGTGCAATGACAGCGTGAAAAGTGACGCGCATACATCTATTTTTTATAATTTCTCTTGGCAATGCTCTTTTCACTTCGAACCCTCCCTTTGTTTTCTCTTCTGGGAGGGCCTTGAGCCTTTTTTGCAGATGTGCTTTTCCGCACTCGTTCTCGTTCTTTGCTCTGGATTGTCACCCCTTTATTAGCAAGAGCCATTCTAGCTTTTTTCTTTGCCAATCTCCTCGCGAGACGGTCGGTATCCGAGGACTTGGCCTGTTTTCGCTCCTCTTTCGACAGGTGCGCCAACTTCGTGCCTAAGGTGGGATCCCCTTTGGGAACAGTAATTGGCTGTGATATGGCGGACGTTGCGATGCTATTGGGACCCTTTGAAGATGGTGCGGCTTTATATTCGAGAGAGGTACCAGGCAACGTTTTGCATCTCTGCACGCGTAATTTGCGTTTGGCAAACTTAACCTTGCCTTCCTCTAACGCCAATATCTCGTCCACGCAAGCCCGATCCTTTGTATAAAGTTTAGTGCATCATATCTTCGGTCATGTGAGATAGGCACGAACTGCAAACTGCACGTACGCGAACCCTTTCCCGAGCTGTGTGTCCTTGTCACGAACCACTCTTACTCGAGTGACCCAGAGCCTGTGGTTTTCATCCGAATTGGGTAGGTCGACAGGGGGAGGACCACGTTCGGTAGTTACAAGCCCTTCGAAGAAGCTCCGCAAATCCTCCTCTTTACTAGCAAAATCCAAATTGCCCACAAACACAGTCAGCTTCGGGTCCCCGCTGATAACTCCACTTCGATCGGTGTTCGTGGCGGTAGCGCTGGGTGGTAATTTTGTAGCGATGTCTACGCGAATCGTGCGCCCCATAAACATTGTGCCGTTACATCTAAGAACAGCCAAACGTGCCGCCTCGAATGGATCCAAGGAAGGGGGCAAAGGTGGAAGATTTGCTGGTCTAGCAGCGACGGGGGGTGCGTGGGCGAACACCATGTATGCATTGACGGAATCTGCGCTGGCGTGGAACTCTTGGTTGATGAAGGCGATCTTCTTTTTTTCACTGGGAGTGAGGAATTTCTTCTCGTCATTCTTTACGCTATCGTCTTTTGTATTCGAGTCGCGCCATGATGAAGCACGGTCTCGATCATGCTTGCGGGTATTGAGTTTGGCAGTCGCAGGATTGCTCTCATCACCTGGAAGCTTGTTTGTAGGATTCTGGAAAGCAATAGAACGAAACCGAGTGGATTCCATCTTGGAATTAGGAATGTACGACAGAATATGGCGTTGCAACTGCTTTTGAAAAGGCTATAGTATATTGGCTTTCAGTGTAGCCTTGGTTATTGAGTAAAAATACGCACACGTTTTTGAGCAATATCGGAGGACAAGTTGCCGATAAATATGGTTCGAGCGTTCCGCTGTTCGTTTGTTTCATCGGTGGGGGTATACTTTTCTTTATGTGCACTTGGACGTTTGCTGCGAGGCGAGCCGTCTTTGCGTAAACTTTCGTGAACAAGCTCTGAAGAAGTAGCGTCTGAGTCGGGTTGCGATTCTACATTGGCTTCATTGGATCGAGAGATTTTGCGTTCATGTTTGTCCGGATGAGTATCCGAGTTGTCACCATGTGCTTCGTTTATGTCCTCTATGTACGATTTTTCCTTTGCTTTCCGCGGTTTGCCCTTTGGTTTATCCGGGGATGTCGGTGGAAGGTTAGTGGGTGGATAAACTCTGACTTTCTTCTCCGGTAGTTGATTCGAGGATGTCGCGAGCTTCCGTTTCTTTTTGCTTGTCGAGGGTCCACCAGGTCGGGCAGCGTCAGTAGGACCTTTTACATCAACCTGGGTAGATCAGTTTGCCATTGAATGGGGGCTGCACCGTGACAATGCGCATACCTGCGACTGAGAGCCAAAAAGAGCATCCAGATCCGTGTCGATTGCTTTGAGTCTTCCGGTGGCCTTTGAGCCTAGAAGAAGGGAGGATAGGCTCATCGCACGTAATTAAATTCAAAAGCAAGGTGACTAGAGGTGACAATTGATCATGATATTCAGAATCACTTGTCACTTAGCTGGTGTATTTGGAAAGAAATTTTCAAGGCAATATAGTTCCCAGTCACGACCGTAATAATATGGGCGTTTAGCGCAGTGGTAGCGCGTATGCTTTGCATTCGGAAATGCATTACGGGATATTCCGTAAAACCTGTATAAAGTCCAGGGTTCAATCCCCTGAACGTCCAGTTATTTTTATTTCCAATATATCTGAGTGGAAACCGACGATGTGGGTCCCTAAAAGCTTGTAATATAATAATATCATTCCGAAACATTTCGTCGAAAATTGTAGGTTTCGATTGCGGTCTGTGACATCAACGTGATTAGGTCGATGCTATTCAAACTAATGCACATGTGCCGAGAAAATGGCCAGTTTTTCCGTGTTCGCGTTTACGAACGATGATTTCGAGCGCGATGCAAAAGAGCACGCGCCTTGACACATATTTTGACGCCCGGATCGAATATATACCTGAAAGTATATCAGACGTATTTCCGCCCTTGGCCTTCGGGATACATCCGGGTAAACCGGATTGTTGGCAGCGTCAACGCCAAGCCACCACATTCTTGCCGAAGTTATTGCTGCTGGATGATGTTTCATCATGCCATCGTGAAAGTGACTGACTTTCAGGTACATAGACGAAGATAAAAATACGTACAGGGTATAAAGAAACATGGTTAGTAGAGTCTGATTTCAACATACCATCCAGAAACCAGAAATGAAAACTGGGATTATCCTTGCAATCGCCTCGGCACTGCTGCCTATTGTCTCAGCTCATTGTCAGTGTGATACGGACCACAAGTCTATGCCGCTGCTAATTCACAGGCATTAGATCGCTGGACTTCCCTCATCGCGAATGGAGTGACGACCGCTGAATATGAGTATGTCCGCGTTAACACGAACGATAACTCCCCAGTACGTTATAGCCTGCTGTCCGGAGAAACATGCTAAACGGCTTTGAAGGTGACGGACGTGACTTCGACGGATTTGCGGTGCAATGTTGGTGGACTTGGCTCAGGCACTGCAACTTCGACGGATACTGTAACAGCTGGATCGACCGTTCGTAATCCATGTATCTGACCTTTACAGCGATTGGATTTGGCAGCATTGTAGGTTGGCCTTGCACTCGACATTGCTATCTACCACCAAGGTGTGGTCAACAGTGCGTAGAGACATAGGCCGTTCGTCTTCATTACCGGCTGAATATTCCTTAGTTTACATGGCTAAGGCGCCTTCTGGCACCAACATCTCCGACTGGGATGGCTCTGGCACAGTCTGGTTCAAGGTTCACGAGGTGACTGCAGTCACAGATGGTGGCACCTCCATTTCCTGGCCTTCTATTGGTGAGTCAGAGCGAATATGATCATAAACAGAAGAGATAAAAACCCATACCATGTAGGCATGAGCCAGGTCACATTTACTATTCCCTCAGATATTCCTGATGGTGAATACTTCATTCGCGCCGAGGACATCGCTCTTCATGCAAGTCCACCTTTCCCTGGTGAGATGTATGTATACTTACAAGAAACCGAACCCAGGTGGCGTCTACCTTCGGCGGCGCCCAATTCTATATTTCTTGTGCGCAAGTCAATATCCAAGGGGGTGGAAGCGGAAACCCTGGACCATTGGTCGCCATTCCTGGCGTGTACACTGGCTACGAACCCGGAATCCTTATTGGTGAGCACTCAAGTCAAACTGAGAGGATCATATCTTAAATACCGTCCATGACACAGATATATACTATCCTATCGTAATTATCTGTTGTTTGCGGTTACGATTATTGTTGACCAGTTTTATTGCAGCCGGCCAACTACACGCAACCCGGTCCTGTAAGTTCCACTCATCAGTTTGGCTGTTTTAGCAATACTGATGACCACGCCGCAGGCTGTTTGGAGCGGCTGATCGCTACTTTAGCTGAAATTAGTTACCCTCTTGTAACATGTTGCTCCGATTGTGGTGGAAATGTACAGTTGTGTTTTGGCGACGATAAACAAGCGCAATGTAGGTTTATCAATAAGTTAGCTGCGAAGACGGTCCTGTCATAGCATAGGCCACTCATTGAAAGTGCCTTGGCTGAACCGGAAGAAACTGATATTCCCTGTGTCGACTGCAGCAATGATGACGCTCTTTTTGCCAGCTTTCAACGCAGCAAAAGGATTCGGTCTGAGCGGCTGATGATCCGGAAGCTTGGGTGAGAGCCAGGGGAAAAGCCGGTGAAGGAGGGATTGAATCTGCGGGTTTGATACCGCCGCGGCCTTCGATGAATTTGCCTGAGCTTGTGATGGAGGGATAGTTCTTTTGCGAGGTAATGGTGGTGGTATCTCCGGTAGGACATCGAAAAGACCCGTCAATTCATGGAGCAGCGGCAGGGTGGTCGTGCGGGCACTACAGGATATAAAATAAGTGTTGAAGGGAATAAGAGGATGAACATACTCTATGACAACAATGGAGAAATCGGGAGAAGGGGGAGCAGATTTTTTGAAGGGCGTTGATGGTTTGTAGAGATTATAGAATATTTTATACGGCGAAACTGGAGTGGCTGAATCTGACGTGAACGGAGGTGGGCGAAGGATAACGGAATGACCAGAGGGAATGAACCGGAGTAACTTAAAAACGGCAGCTGGACAAAGCATATTAAGGAGGCTGAACGGGAAAAGTAACGTGCATGTCTCGTACCATGCGTTATATTATGGCAGGACCATCCACCTAATTGAATGGGATGCCACCAGTCAAATGCAGCTCCCCACGATCGAGAGACTCTAGACACAGTGCACCAAAGTAAGCAAGATATCTGCTGAAAGATTGATCTTTTAATATGCTTTGTAATGCGCGGGGCGGGTATGGGATAGCTTGGTGTGGGAGGTTCAGCTCGAGTTACGACGTAGCCAAGTCTGCGTAGATACGCAAAAACCTGATATTTCTCTAAAGTGAGATTCTCTTTGCCAATCATTTCGGAAAATGCTTGCTGGACGGTCATGGGTGCGCCTTGGACGTCCTCTATGAAGGATACATCGGTTTGTGTCTGCTTCCAACACAACATAGCACCTCTTTCGATGAGGTACAGAGCTTCCTCGGGGAGCAGCTCGAGTCTCTTATATTGTTTGGATTTCTCATTATCTCCGGGAAGGGACCGTGTAGTGGAATGACCCATTGCAGTGAAGTGTATGCCCCGAGCTGTTGTGACATATGCGCGTGAAATATCTGTTTGCCAGATGGCGTAGCTGATCGACTTGCTGGAAACAGCGTCAGAGAGGAAATATCAGAGTGACAACCGAGGAAAGTTCCTGCCTCGAGATATTTCGGGAGCCTTGAAGAGCAGCAAACATCGCAGACCTCGCTCGATCTAGCACATGAAGCTGAAATCCCGATCCTCCACCAGGGGCAGGTTCAAAGTCTTTTTCTCCGCGCTTAGGTATGATAGGACGCGCAGCTCCAATACTGTACATCCTGTCAATTAACGCATACTCGGTAACAGCGCAATGATACATACGACAACTTGGTCCAATCTGGTAAATCATCATCGTCTGAAGATTGATCGTCATCATCATCGGGATTCCGTTTGGGCGGAAAGTTTGCCTGAGGTCTGGGTTTCTCCAAGGCATCATCCATTATACACTGGAGCACGCAATGACTTGGGTTAAAGTTGGCTCTGACCGAATAAAATGCTGGTTTTTGATTCGGATGGAATCAGAGTGACTTCAGGCCTTCTGGCAGAGCAAATTAGGTCGATCATATTTTCACAAGATAATCGTTAATTTATTTGGGCCGAATTTCTATATTGAGCACCGGTTGTAGAGTTTTGCCCATTGCTCCCGTACTTAAGTTCCTAACAGGTTGTACTACAGCTACTGAGAGGGAGTGCAGCGGGATGGCAGCACAACAGATACCCACATTTTTTCAATCTCTCGCTGTATGATCTTTTCTTATAACCCATGAAAAAACCTCTGTGAAATTGACTCACCCAAAGTATAGGCTGGCGGGTTAGCTGGAACAGCAGTTGATCTCCTCTTCTTCCCGATCGACACAGTAAAGACGCGTCTGCAATCAGCACAAGGATTCTCTAAAGCTGGAGGGTTTCGAGGAATCTATAAAGGTGTCGGGAGTGTAGTAGTAGGCAGTGCTCCTGGAGGTGCGAACGTCAGTTCCGCGACTACCATTGATGCTGACTATAATATATTGTAGCCGCAGTATTCTTTTCCACCTATGAGTCCATGAAACAAACACTTCCGCTTCATGGTCAACTTGCTCCCGTTAATCACATGATGTCTGCATCTATTGCAGAAGTCGTACGAATATCATTTCCACATTCTTGAGATTTTCTGATAAGTTATCTGCAGGCGGCTTGCTTGATAAGAGTACCAACAGAAGTTATCAAAACGCGTACCCAAACCTCAACGTATGGACCATTGGCCTCTTCCTCGTTTTCTGCCGCTAGACTTGTTCTCCAGAACGAAGGTTGGCGGGGATTTTATCGTGGATTTTTATCGACTATCATGCGAGAGGTTGGAGTTTTTAATCTTCCTCTTGAAAATCGATTTTTACCTTTTGTGCACGTAAAGATACCCTTTACATCTCTGCAATTCCCATTCTATGAGCTTCTGAAACTACGTCTCTCGCATCATCTGGAGCGGAAACCGCTCTATGCCCACGAAGCCGCCATCTGCGGCAGCATAGCAGGTGGCACTGCTGCTGCAATAACCACTCCTCTCGATGTCCTGAAGACTCGAGTCATGCTTGATCTTCGAGTCCGTAAATCCATATCGTCATTGTGTCCCAAATATTGACATTGTATCTTAGGACCCGTCAAAGCAACAGATCCCAAGCTTGTTATCCAGGCTGCGACAGATTTATGTGGCGGAGGGAATGAGTGCGCTGTTCGCAGGTGTTGTCCCCCGCACTTTATGGATATCAGCGGGCGGAGCGGTCTTTTTAGGGGCCTACGAGTGGGCTGTACATGGTTTAATGGGTATATAAACGGTTCTGGAACACAGATATCTATACGCGTATCTTTCCTAACACTTTATAGAATAGAACTAACGGGTACTAATCTGTTGTCGTATGGGTCATAACCCGGCATACATCATCATCATCATCACAACTGTCCAGGCGTCCATGCGAAGATCGTGAAAAATTCTAATGGGTTTGTAGATTGCTTGTCTCAGATCATCCGTTGCAAACTTGATGAGAAGC